CTCCTCCTGGTTGACCAATGTGTTGATGGTTTGTCCTTGCATGTGCACTGTCCGGGTTGCAGCATGAAGCGTGCCTGTTCTCTGAATGTCCTTAACGTGGGTGGCAAGGCAGCTGAAGACCATTTCCAAGTAAGGAGCTCTGCCCTGCTTAACGTCCTTGACCACCTTGACCAGGCTAGCCGGGCTGGCCGCACACCATGCTCGGCACCACTGCTGTTTCAGTAGTCTTTTGGTGAACATGGACATATTTCTGATTCTTAGACGAATAGGCACCCTGATATTTTCATATTCTGCATTAACTCGATTATGTGAATTATAGGAATGTTCACATTGTGGACATGCTCAGTATATTAATTAATTATCTTTAAAAATAGTTTAATTGACCTAATTAAAAATTAAATAATTCTGATAAAGTAATAGGAAAACTTGGCCACTTAATTTATATTAAATTAATAAATGTATTAACGTGTATGATTTTAGTCTCTAATAAGTTTATAAGTAATTCATTGTTTAGTTAAGCTGTTCAGTGTTTTAAAACTATTCAAAACGTTACTAACATAAGTGACACACTGTCACTTTGATACTAAGATGTTTAGCACTTTGTCAGCTGTCCGAGTCAGGAACATGTTACTTTTGCATTCAAAACTGTGGGCATCCTATTCTCTATCAAAAATGGCCTTTTTATTTGCCATTTCTTTTCCATGTCTGGTATAACTGTCAGTGCGGCCAGGCTCCTGGACCCCAGCACCTGGCCTTGTTTCTCAAGTGTGCCCAGCAGACCAGGGAGCTTGAACTTAGGTGGAGAGAAACCTGTGACTTAGCAGTCACTGCTGCTCCGCCGGTGTCCAGACTTCCTCACTTCCTGCTCACTGCACCTGTTGAGTCAGTGGCTGGTGCAGTGACCCAGTCCAAGTGAGAAAGTGTTTGATGTACACTGACAGTAACGGGCCTGGCAGGGATGCTGACCTCACCCGTAGCACCCTGGGAGCTGACTGTTCCCTGGGTGCTTGTCACCAGGCCTCTAGTTAGAAGCTACAAGATGCTGGCAGGATGTTGGTTAGTTTGCTTTAAGCCCTCCTGGTTATGAGAGTAAAAGCAGGGACTTTTGTTTTAAAAGGCCTGAGCTGACAGTTCTCTCACTCCTGGTTCTTGGTGTTTGCACCTGCATGTGTGAGCATCAGGACTCTGGTGCATTGACTGAGAGTCGTGCGGCTGTTACTGGTAGAGCTAAGACCACGTGAAGCTGGGGTCATTTGAAGTACTGGTTAAGTATAATTTTTCCGTTTATTTTTTCATGCAGGAACGAAATAATTGTCTGGCAGACTCGAGAGCTCTGAGTGCCAGCCACACTGACCTGGCCCACTGAGGGTCAAGGCAGAGCTAGATAAAATCCCCGAGACTAACGAAGCCCTGAGACCCTCAAAGCTTTGCCAAGCCCCTCCTCACTCCACACGGAAGGCCCCCCACCGGGGTCGCTTCCTTTTCTAGATAGTGACCTCCACCGACCCCTGGAGGTTGCCCCGAATTCCGTTCAGCAGTCTGCAGTCCTAGTGACCGAGAGCTGCCGAAGCGTGAACGTGAGACCTGGCCCGGCGCGGCGGCCTGGGGAGGCAGACTTGGCACCAGCAGCCGGCTTCAGCATGTTCAGAATCGGCACTGCTCATGGACACTTGAACTTATCTGCCACAACACCAAAATCTGTTTTAAATTTTAATAGTGTATTAAGGCTGTAAATTAAGAGTCTGGAACCTTAACCTACATCCTTTTAGAATAAGCATCTAATGATCCGTGGCAGTAATGCCTAGAATTTAGAGGAAAGTGTCTGATGAGAAATGGGAGAAATGAGTAACTTGCCGGGAGGCCTGCTTCCCTCTGGGGCTCTGGTTCTCGAGTCCCAGTGCCTGTGGTGTGGGACCCCTGCCTCCCGTTCTGCTGCACACGCCTGGGCTCCCACGCCCACCCCTCTTCCTCTCTTCGGGCCCCTGTACACTAAGCTTCTCTTTGTACGGTTAAGTAACACAGAGTAGACTTTGACAGGAACATTTTCAAATCAACCCTAAGGCATTATTCCTTAAGGGGAATCTGTAAGAGTAACCGGTAGGGTCAGGAAATACTAAGCAAATGACAAGGTGTCGGTAACTGCAGATGACGACAGCTGTGCAGAGGGGCAGGTGAGCCGGAATATGAAGACTCGGCCTTTAGATTCAAAGAAGATTGGAAACACTGAGCATTCTCGTGAACTGCTGTCAGGTTTTGATTTTAATTTAGTTTAATGTAATGACATAGGTGGTGTCACAGCAAAGCACTTGTTTTTGTTTGCTCCCAGCCACCTTTTCCTCGTGAATGCACTGGGCTGGGGGACCTGCGCACTGAGGGCTCACTGGGAGCGTCTCCGTCAGGCAGGCATGTGTCCTCAGGCCAGCATGGCTTCAGGGCTGAGGGCTGGAGGTAGCAGCACCGGGGTTTTGGGTACAGCGAGGCTAGGCCGTGCACTTTCTTTAAAGGTTTTCTGTCATTTGATAAGAAATTACCTCATGGCATAGATTGCTTGTGTTTGAGGCAGTGTGCTGGTCTCCTCCCAGGGACAGGGGCTCTCTAGTGTGTGTGGGTCCTGCATTGAAGGTGCCGGCGGGGCTGACACGGTCTCCTTTGGCTGTGCTCCTTTCCTGGGCTCCTGACTCTGTTTAGGTTTTGCAGTTTCTGATGGATCAGGAACTTATTTTCTAAATGCTATCTAGAAGTGTTCAAAAAACCCGATGTGTTGTGAGACACCACCAAAAAAGAAAGAAGAGAGCAAAGCCGTGTCCTTTTGTGGACACTGGCTCTTTGAAGTTCACACTTTGGGTGCCATGGGGCAACACGTGGTGTTGCCTGGATGCAGTTTGCTGTGTCTGTGCCACATTATCGCCAGGGGACAGGGACCAAGGCACTGTCCCTCTCCTCCCTTGCACTCCAGGTAAAGTTTTCTTCTCCCCAGCCACACGCCGGCACGTTGGAAACCCACTCAGTTTCCCTTAGTGGATAGTTCTCTCTGGAAAAAGAAGGGGCGTTTAGAAAGAATCAACATGGAGCTGAAAATAGAATCTAAAGTTCCTGATTGGTGGAAATGGCCCATCTTTGCAGAAGCTTCTGTTGCACTTGTGCAGGCTTCGAGCCTGCCAGCCCCAGCCCCCCTGGGGGCCGTGGTCGCCTTTGCAGGGCTGTGTGGAAGCAGTGATGGGGTAAGAGAATCCACCGGGCCTCCAGGAAGCCAGGTGCTAGAACCTTCCTGTTGCAGAGGGGATGCTACTCAGGGATCTGCAATTTCTGACTTTCGAACTTGGATCAAAACAGAAAGGAGGCAGGTTGTAACCTCCTCCAAGCCTGGTTGTCTGAATTTTAACCTTCCTGGAGAGAAGAGCAGTGGGTCTGCCGTCCCTCCTCCTCAATATTTTCCTTTCCTGGGGAGCGGACCTTAGGGGAGCCAGCACCCATTTCTACAGTTTCTATCAAGTAGCGTGCTCCTGGCCAGAGGACAGACAGGAAGTGGACGAGAGCCGACAGGTATCTGCAGGGCCCGCCTCTGCACGTGGTTGAACAGGGGGCCTGTCTGAGGGCAGAGGGTGTGGGAGAGCCGGGGCCTGCAGCACTGGGTCTTTGTGTTCACAACGCTGGGGGATCCAGAGAGTTATTTTCTGTAATTTAAAAAAAACCCTATCATTTGTTTGGTCAGAAAGCTGCTAGAAATATCATGTAATTAGAAATTCAGTGTTTATAGTAAGATTATATAAATATTGCTAAGGATATGTAGTTTATAATTTATGAAACATCTTTCACTGTCAACTTTAGAGAATGTTCTTGGAAGGCATGTTGTGTGCGTGAGGCTAACCTCTGATAAGTGTATGTTTGCCCTTATTTTTGAGCACTGTACTCTACAATTGTCAGATTTCTGAACTCTAGGAGGGCCCGTGATAGCCCCGACCAAAGGTGTGCCCACGTCAGTTGAGCAAGTCTTGGCAGGGCAGACAGCGTTGCCGACATCCTCGGGGAGGTGCCTCTGGGCAGGTCCATACACACCCACGTCCTCTGCTGTGAATTAGTTCCCCAACACTATGGGGAATCAGAGTGGTTTATACCATGGTGTGGAACTCACCCTGGGGGATCATGGGTCTGTGTGGACTGTCTGACGAGCCCAGAGAGCATGTCATGGAGGGGAGTGTGCACCTAGAAGCCCCAGGACGGCAGGCTGCTGTTGGGTGCTCCTCAGGGAGCTGGGCCTCCACACCCATCACTGCCCCTGCGCCGCACACCCGGGGGAATTGTGGGTGTTCTGAGACACCAAGAGGAAGCCTTCCTGCAAACGTGTCCTCGGCCTTGGGGGCAGCCCAGCGGGCATGTGGGCTGCCCAGGGCTGAGTGCTGGTGCTGGGCTCCACTTGCCGGAGTGTGGGTCGTCCTTTAAGTGTATGTTCTGTCCTGGAACTGTTGTTTTCCTTTCTCATTGTCAGTGTGAGTTGCCTAGGAAATTATGTGAAATGTTTATGTTACAAAAATAAAGTGTTTTATTTCCTGTTGTCAAGTCCCTGCACATTTTGCAGAAAGGCTCTTTTGTAAAACTCCAACCCTAAAAGATCTTTTTCCTGTTTTACACCAGCCATTCTTAACCGTAAGGGGTCAGACTACTTTGAAAATATGATGAAAGTTATAAATGGGCCATTCTGCCCTAGAAAACTGTACCAATGGAAAGTCTGCCCAGTTCCAGGGGTTTATGATCCCACCCGCAGTGCTGGCCTGGGCAGTCCCCGCTGTCCTGGCACCAGCCCTGGGGTCATAGTGTCTGGCTCATGGAACTGTGGAGGATGGCCAAGTCACTCAGCTGTTCTGTGTCTCAGTTTCCTTGAGAGTGAGGGTAGTAACAGTTCCTGTGTCCAAGGGCTATGAAGAGGACATACATCAACTTGGATGAGTTACTTTAGGACAGTGTCTGGCAGAGAGCAGGTCGCTAGTGAAAGGGTCCGGGGCTACAACAGCAGTCACTTAGCACGTTTATTTCTCCAAGATCAACTCTGTGCCAGGCAGCATGGTGAGGCACTGGGGGGTGGGGATGATGAGGATGAAGACGGGCACAGCTCTGCCTGTGCCAAGGCCATGTCCTCTGGACGGGCAATCATGTCCCTCATGTCTTGTGTCTCCACCAGATGGTCAGATTCTGGAGTTCGTAGCAAGATGGAGCAGGACCCTAGCTGACAGGAGATCCCACTTTCTAGCTGGAAGTAAGGCCCCCAGCCATGGTGTGGGAGCTGGGTCTGTGCAGCAGGTCCTGCCAGGCCAGGGCTGATGTCCTGACCACTGAGGCCAGGCTTGGGGAGGCAGCAAGAACATGGTGGGATGTGTTTTTTTTAAAACAAAACAAAACTCTCGTTTGCCCAGAACTGGTTTTCCTAGCAGATGGGCCAAGTCAGTGCCCATAGTTGTGTCTTGCTCCTTTGTCCAGCTCGGGCTGGTGGCAGAGGCAACACAAAAGTAAAATAAAGCCCCATCCCACTCCCAGACACCTCTCCTGGACCCCATAGCCTACAGTCAGCTTGGTGTCTGTTTTCTGCACCCTGTTCTAAATTGGAGTTTTGGGAGTGGGGAGTGTGTTGGGGGCTGGGAGCCAACATCCCAACAGGGGGTGAGGGCCAGTGGGGAGCTCATCTGACTGCGGCCTGATGCGGCTGGAGCAGTGGGGGAAGGGGACGCAGCCGGCGGGAAGGAGGGCAGGAGCCTGCAGGGGAGCAGAGTGGAGACCTCACTGGGAGGGGCCAGGGAAGACTGTTGGCCTCCATCCCGGGTGGGAGCTGACGTGGACACAGAAGACAGAGAAAGCTGCTCCTTGTGAGGCTGAGGTTTCCAGGAGCTCATTGTAGAGACACCCGGGGAGCTGCCAGCACCTGCAAGGGCCAGTGCGGCAGTGGAGGACACGTGCTCATGGCCAAGAGCTGGGTGTGTCCCAAAACCCAGGGAGAGGAAGGCACAGCCCTGGGTGGGGGCGGGGGGGGGGGCGCAGGGGGCGGTATCCATGCTCACTGTCTCTTTGGTTGAGAAAGTGCGACAGACACCTCCGAGGGGACTCTAACCCAGTGATGGGTGTGCTGAGTCAAAGATGGTGGTCCCCTGTGTCCGTGGACTTTGGAAGGCTCTGCCGGGATCTGGTTAGTGTTCTGCAGTTGCTGGGTCAGCAGCCTCGGTCTCGGGCGTCCCTCGCACGCCCTCAGCGTTGACTGTATAGGAGCAGGACGAGGGGGGCAGGTGAGGGGCGAAGATCACCCTGAGAGTGCGAGCAGGGTGGCTGGGCGGGGTGAGGACGGCCTCCGTGGGGTGGTGCCGATCGGCCATCAGCCTCATTAAGAGCTGGTTGGACCAGGTTATTCCAAGGGCTGGAGAAGTCCGCTCGTCCCAGAGCCTGAGACAGAAAACAGGCACAGCCTTACTTACAAAACCAGTGGCAGGACACGCTGCCTGTGCCACCCTCCTACTCACCGGCAGGACTTGCTCACCCCGGTGGCCCTGGTGCCTCGCCCCGTTCCTCCACAGCCTCCGTCACCTGAAACATCCAGATCAGTCAGGGTCAGCTGCAGCAAGGACCCACTGCCACCTGCCTCCAACTTGACGGGCTCTGCCCTCCCCAAGGCTCTTCCCTAAAATATGGGCTCACTGACCACACCCACGTCTGGGGTGGGGCGGGGAGGGCTGGCCCACCTGGTTGATGCACAGCACTGGGCTCTGGAAGGTGCAGCTCAGCTGGCGCAGTGCAGCCCCCAGGGCCTGTAGACACCTGGCCCTGGGGGCCGAAGCTGGGCCGTCAAATTCACAGCGGAATGGGGCTGCCACAGAGTCGATGACCACCAGGCGCGCCATCCCCCGAGACAGCAGCACAGGCAACTTCTTACTCACACACTCCAGCAGGGTGTCCTGGAAGCCAAGGGGAGGTGGCTGTCACCATCACGCCACCTGTATCTCCCCTCTGCCCAGTGCTGAGGGACGCTCCCCCCAACCCCATGTCCTGCCCATCTTACTTACCAAGTCGTCCTGTTGGGTCTGACCCCCAACCCCTCAGGGCCATCACAGTGAGCCCCTCTCCTTCAGTGACCCCACATTGGGTGCCGACCACCTGGACCCAGCCGCAGTGCCAAGGCTGACTTGTTACCACCACGGGAACCAGGCTACCCTAGTCAGGAGGGTCTGGGGGCAGCCCTGAGCCCTGCCAACCCCACCCAGAGGAGGGACACAGTGGGGTGAGGGGGGCTCCAAGTCTTTCCTGCACCCAGCTTTGCCCTGAATGTGAAGACCCCTGGGCCCGGGTGGGGGCTGCAGATGCAGGGGCCCTCTCGGCCAGCCCTGCCCATCCTCCAAGGCCTTAGCCCTATACTCAGCAGCACTGGCCTGGCCAGGAGGTGGAAATGGCCAGGGTCCTCAGGGTGGGGCAGGGTGTCCTCAGGCCCTGGTGCCGGGTAGCCAAACATGGGCCGTCCCATCCAGAACTCTGTAAGAGCTGTTCAGTGTCTGGTTTGTCACCCTGGAATGAAACTCAGTTCTGTGCTTAAATTTCCAGGGTGTCTCCAGTAGAGCCTCTTTTTGTGGAAAATGACGGCAGCAGTAGCGGCCTAGAAGATGCTAACATGAACGTGAGTTCCACACCCCTTTCTGTCACCAGAGGCAGCGCTGGGGCACCTGGGGATCAGGCAGGTGATGGCTGTGCCTGCTTGCTGCAGGGCCAGGATTCTGCAGTGCCTAGTTTCGAGACCCTGTCCCCCAGGAGCTGGAAGCGGGGACTGGGGCTCCGAGGCCCCACTTGTGCAGAAGCCACAGGCCCAGGCCCGCACCGTTGGCCTCTCGCCCTGCAGTACCCCTACGCCCCTAGGCTCTAGGCAGACACCAGGCGACAGCGTGGAGGCCGCCTCCCCCTAGAGCTGCTCCAGAACAAAACTTAGAAACGCCACCACCACCACCACCGAGTCTTGGTGATCTGGCCCTGACCGACTGCCTTCTCTTGCAGTGAAGCTGTACCTGGCCCTGGAAGACCCAGGACAATGCTGCTTGTGTGTGGCAAGAGCCGGCCCTGTGACAGCCAGGGGACAGCTGCTGAGGCTGGAGGGCCCTGGAGCTGGGAGCCGGCAGCACTAACCTCGTCTTCCCTGGGCCCACCACTGTGGAGCCCACTGTCGTACTAACAACCCCACTGCTGGTCAGGATGCGTCGCTCAGCAATGGCAGCGCTCAGCCCCTGAAGGATGGCAGGGCAGATGCAGAACCCCTCCCGGCCACCGCTCCACGGAGACCACGGGGCTGTCTGCCTCCTGAACCTGCACTGAAAGACCTCCGGCTGCCCGGGCCTGGTGTGCTGTTGCTCATCGTGTTATTTCTCTGCGCTGTGTGATAATGTATTTTATTGTAAATTTTTAAAAAATTAAAACATTTATAAGCCTTATCCTTGACTTGAAATTCTTTCCATAACAATTCTTAAATGGGAGAAAGGCCCACCCAGGAGCTAAGGCTCGGCCCAGCTGCAGCCGACATGAGGGGCTCTCCCGGGACCAGGCCGCAGGGAGAAGCCGCAGCCCCGTGCGAGGCCTCGTCAGTTCTTTCTGGTGTACTGGTTTATGCTGACTCACCACATCTCCTTTGAATCCTTTCCATTCCTCACTGATTCCTCCACCAAATGATGATCTAAGTTGACAGGCTGACCAGGCCACACCCCGCTGACCCGCCCTCCTGCCCCCTCCCTGAGGTTTATCTGTCCACAGGGAGGGAGCCTGTGACTCAGTGATGGTTCCAGAGGTGGTGTTGCCCCAGTGGCACAGCCAGGTGGTGGTCACCGATCTGAGAGGGCTGGGTGCCTGCTAGGCCCTGGCCAGGTTTGGGGGGGCCCCTGTGCTCTGACAAGGGGGCTTTCCCCTCCATCAGAGGCAGAAGTAAAAACCTAATACAGCCTCCTCTCACTGGGACAGCCAGCCTGGACAGCAGGCCCTGTCCTCTGGGCAGCAGTCACCTCAGGGTGGCCAGGTGAGCAGGAGGCGCTCACCCCAGGTGCAGCCTTTTCAAGGGGACTGAGGGGCCCCCCGTCCCCACTCTTTCAGGTAAGGACTCGTGCTGTCTATGTGAACGGGGCACACTCCAGAAGGCACCACGCTGCCAAATGACAGGGTGTCGTGTGTGCGGCCCACCTGCCGGCCCACCTTGCCGACTGCCCTGCAGAGCTGGGCTGGAGAGACAGGCGGGACACTCACCACGTCAGCCGCGTGCTCAATGAAGATCTGGTTGCCAAATCTTATCTTCCTGACCACCTCTTCTGGGACCTCCCTCCGCAGGTGCTGCTGCTGCGACATGAGCTGCTGCAGACGCTTGCTCGGGAAGACGTCCTCGGTGCACACGTAGACAGCCCCTGGGAGCAGAGCGCCGCAGGTCCGACAGGAAAGGGGCCTGTGGCCGCCACACAACCCCAGGCAAACGCCTCCCCTCATTTTGTTTTTGTTTCTTTTTTTGGTGAGGAAGATTGTTGCTGAGCTAACACCTGTGCCGATCTTTGTTTATTTTATGTGGGCTGCCTCCACAGCGTGGCTCGATGAGTGGTGCTAGGTCCGCGCCAGGGATCTGAACTTGCAAACCCTGGGCCACTGAAGTGGAGTACACGAACTCAACCACTACGCCACTTGGCTGGCCCCTCCCCTCATTTTTAATACTGCCCCTTGCAGGTTCTTCCCCTCTGACCATAGGAGGGCGGCAGGCCAGTGCTGGTCTTCCACGGCAGCCATCTCACCTACAGCACGTCACCCTGTGGCTCTGTTGCCCACACTGTCACAAGTGGAAGTACCAGGGCCAACAGGCTTTTGGAAGTGCCCCTTCCCGCAGACACAGGGAGATGCCCCTTAAAGGCTCCACTGGGCAGATGTTCCTCGATTCCACTGTCAAGGCTGCTGCGTTCCTTGGCTGTGTGCGGGTAACTGTGTCTTTGCTGTGATTGGAAAAGCCAGTAAACATGTAACAGGTGACGTGTCACCAAGACCCTGAACAACCTGGGCCAAATACTGGCTGGGGCCTGGACACTCATATCAGAGAATGTACCCCGAGTCCTGCAGCTAAAAAAACCAGGGGCCACCTGAAAGGGACCCTAACGTTAGGGCAGCTGATTTTCAACAAAGGTCCCAAGACAGTTGAACGGGGAAAGAACGGTGCTGGGACAACTGGACATCGCACGCAAAAGAGTGAAGTTAGACCCTTACCTCACACTAGATGCAAAAACTGAACCACACTGGTCACGTGTGAGAGCCAACATTCTAAACTTGAGGAAGAAAATACGGGGTGGGGGGGCGGTAAATAAATCTCCATGACCTTGGGGTTAGGCGGCGGATTCTTAGCACACAAAAAACACTCAATGAGGAACAAACAGACAAACTAGACTGCATCCAAATGAAAAATTTTTGTGCTTCAAAGGACATCAAGAAAATGAAGACCAACCCACAGAAAGAGAGAAAATACTGCAAATCATCTATCTGATAGTCTAGTATCCAGATCATATAGACTCTTACAACTCAACCACAAGAAGACAACCGAAATTAAAAAACAGGCAAAAGATCTGAATAGACACTTCTCCAAAGAAGATATGCAAATGACCAATAAGCACGTGAAAAGATGCTCACCGTCATTAGTCTCACCGTCATTAGTCACGAGGGAAACGCAAATCAAAGCCACAAATGGGGGCCTGCCCCGTGCATGGTGTAGTGGTTGAGTTCACATACTCTGCTTCGGTGGCCTGGGTTTGCGGTTCGAATCCTGGGCGTGGACCTATACCACTCATCGCCGATGCTGTGGTGCTGACCCACAAACAAAATAGAGGAATACCAGCACAGATGTTAGCTCGGCTAATTTTCCTCAAGCAAAAAAAGAGGAAGATTGGCAACAGATGTTCGCTCAGTGTTAATCTTCTTCAGCAAAAAAAGAACAAAACAACCAGACTCCCACAACGAGATCCCATGTCACACTCACGAGGATGGCAAGAATAAAAACCACAGGCAAGGGTTGGCAAGGACACAGAGAAACGAACGCTCGTACGTTGTTGGTGGGAATAAAATGATGCCGCTACTGTTTCAAAACAGTGTGGCAGTTCCTCAAAAAGTCGAGGATGGAGTTACTGTGTAAGCCAGCAATCCCGGGAACTCCTGGGATCTACCCAAGAGAAACGAGAACGTGTGTCCCCAAGGCCATGGGCACTAAAGTTCACGGCAGCGATAGTCATAAAGCCAAAAGGTGGAAACAACCCGTGTCCATCAACAGACAAGGGGTCAACACTTGTGGTCGGTAGGCCCAACGGGATACCATTCAGCGATAAAAAGGCGTGAAGTGCTGACACGTGTTCCAGCATGGATGACCTTGAGAATATCATGCTGAGTGAAGAGAGACATTCGAGGCCATGTTTGCATGATGACATTTACGTGAAATGTCCAGAACAGGCAAATCCATGGAGACAGAGCGCAGATGGGTGGCTGCCGGGGGCTGGGGAGGGAGTGGGGGAGACTGCTAATGGGTTCGCGACTTCTTTTTGGGTGATGAAACGTTCTGGAATTAGATAGTGGTGATGGGTGCACAACTTTGTGACTACACTAAAAACCATTAAATTGTACATTTTAAGAGTGAATTTTATGGTATATGAATTACATCTCAATTAAAAAAAAAAAAGAAGGCCTGTGATCTGGCTGCATGCTGGCTGTGCTCCGCCAGGACCCCCAGGGCCTGCCACTGACCACACTCCTGGCCCTGCGCTGTTCATGGCACGAGGAGAGCCAGAGCACCCACGCCCACACAAGCACCCTACGTGTGGGTGGGTGTGTAACTGTTCATCTTGATCTAATTTTGTTTCGACAGAATTTCAAACTTAGATTCCGGACAGGACCAGAACCGCCACGTCTGATTCGGTGTCACTCGTAAGCTCCTGACCACTGGCATCTTTTTAACTTTCCTCAGCACATTCCAGATCATTCCTGGGGGAAGTGCCTGCAAAGTCCCCTTGACGGGGCTGAGCCCCTTGTCAGAAGGCCCATGTTGTCCTTGAAGCAGCTGGGAGTGACCACGCTTTCCACGTTCTGGAGAAGCGTGTTCTGGGCAGAAGGTTCAGAACCACTGGCCTCTGCCCCGCCATGCCCTGCAGCCTGCCTCCCCTCGTGGGTTTGCTGGGAGAGGCGTGCGGGGTGCTCTCTGCCGCCCCCGCCCAGAGGGGCTGCATCGCCGCAGCGGCTTCGTGAAGCTGGCAGGAAGGTGGCCTCGGCAGATGGCAGCAGGCCAAGGAGAGTTTTCTTAAGTGCAGGATATAAAGCAACTCCAGAGCCTCTTTGCCATTCTTTTCAAAATTAGGGCTTTTAGATCTGATTTAGGGAAAAGAACTCATTTTCTCAGGAAAATGTGCATATGGGACCCAACATTTAATGTGCTCATCTCCCTCCCACCCCTCCCCACCAGGCCACTGCAGGACACGCCTCTTTATTTTCCTTCTGCCACTGGGATGGCCACCTCTGCGTCCCTCTTCTTTCCCAAGGGGTGCATCTCTGGAAACAGGCACGGTCAGCCTGATGCTGACCTCCGCGCATGCCAGCCATGGCCCGTCTCACTGGCTTCTCCCTGGATCTGACAGATTTCCCCAGAACCTCACTGGCTACACAGGAGCCCCGCCCCCCGAGCCTCCTGGCCCCCCGCTCCGAGTTCTCCATGTCCTTGCCCACGTCTGGCGCAGGTGGAGGCTCCATGGAGGAGGCATGGGCAGCTGGGAGTATGGGCCTCGGACCCCCAGCGGAGTCCCAGTCCCCTGCAGGGGTGGTCACGAGGAATCCATGCAAGGTGATGCAACTGTCACCAAGAGACCCTGGGTCACATGGCAGTGGTGGAGGAGGGGTGAGACCCTCCAGACTAGAGTGGACGAGGTAGCCTTCCCCACATAGCAGGGCCACATCAGGCTGGGACTGAGGGCGGAGTGAGCGCAGTCAGGCTGCCACACTGGGCCTGTTGTGTCCTGGCACGAGGGAGACAGGCTCTGCTGTGGGACGTCCTCAGGGGTCCACTGCTGGGAGGGGAAGGGAGAAAGGACAGGGCCCCAAGCAGCTCTGAGGACCTGACCCTGCTGTGCTGTGACCTTCCTCCCACTGAGTCAGAAAGCACCTACTGTGTGCCAGGCACACACAGGGTACAGATGCGGACCTGGGCCTGGACCCAGTGTGAACACCGGCACCAACAGGTAACTGCTCATGTGACATTCCAAGAGAGAAAGGGATCCCCAGGGACCCTGCTGGGCCAGAACATCACGGTCCTCGTAGAGCAAAGGTGACCAGGCTCAGGAGAGATTCGGGATCAAGACTCGGCTGCCCTGTACTCTGCCTGCTGTCCCCACGCTTGGCACCTGGCCCATCTCGGGCACACCCCCCTCCCAACTGGGCTCCCTGAGAAGGCAAATGGGGCAGCAGCTCTGCGTGCGCCGCAGCCAAGAGCAGGTCTGCCCGAAGCCTGGCGTCGAGGAGTGCCGGGGAGCCAGGTGGCTCCCATCTCACTTCTGAGCAGATTAGTCTCGCTTCACGGCAGCTCTTCTGTGGGGTAAACTGAGGACTCCCACTTTCGAGGCCAAGTCCATCCACCCAAGCACCAGGCGAGCCTCGGACGGTGCTGCAGAGGGCGCCGGGCACGCCCCAGGTCCTCCTGGGCCACACCTTCGCCCAGAGACGCAGGGACAGGAGGTGGCGCAAATACCTGCCTCTGGCATGAGCGACCCCCACACTCGGTAGGAGACCCCAGCACTAAACCCACAAGGCCAGCGTGCTCGGGAGCCCACAGGGCTCAAAGGACATGCGGTGATTTCAAACAAAGCTTCCACGGGGGTCCCAGCCACAACAGGGACGTGCTGAGGTTCAGCAACAGATGACACGAGATCAGGTCTGGCAACAGGGTGAAGAGGCGGCCTGGCCTCAGGAGGCACGCTCCAGAGCTAGCTCCAGCGCCGTCCCCAACCCACCACGTAGCAGAGAAGCGAGCAGGCAAGCCAAAGGGGACGCCAGCCGACAAGTGCTGCCATTCTGTTCACGTGCGATTCCAAGCAATGAAGGAACCGCACCTTGGTCCTGCCGAAGTCTCATAAAAACCAAAGAGCCACCAAAAAACCTCATATTCACGGTAGTTACCTCACAGTTAATAAAAACGACTAGAATTTTTAACACTCAAAAGACGAGTCCCTCTAACGCTGGGCACAGCCTGTGCGCATTTCTCAGACACGCAGACAATGCGGAGGGCTCGGCTCCGCCCCTCGCACATGGCCCGGCCAGCCTCCGTGTCCTCGAGCTTCATCCTCCTCGCTCCTTCCCAAAAAGGAGAAGAGCTAAATATTGTCTGTCCTGTGATTCTGGCTCTCTGGGCCAAATGGCTTGCAGGCTGGTGGTGTGACGCGTGCACATATGAGGGTATGGGAACCCGCGGGCCTGACCCACAGCACCGAGGGGTCTTTGTGTTCAACCCGTGACCGCCTCCAGGGGCCCACGCAGGCATGGGCCGGTTAGCAGGTGTGGCTCCCGCTGAGGGCAGGCTGCACGTGCCCGCCGACCCCTCGGGCTGCCCGCTTCCCTCTTCTGGAGGAGGAACCACAAAGCGGATGTGCAGAGAGATGGGAAGCGTGGAAGACAGTCCTCAGACCCAACCTCAATGGAAAGTGGCCCGAGAACAGGGCCAGGACCCCCCGCCCCGCACCAAAGCGAATGGCCACTCACCGGCCTCCAGGCCCCCGTGCTGCCGCGGGAACTGCACGGCCAGGCAGAGCTGCAGTGCCAGCTGGGTTTTCCCGGCGGAGCTGCGGCCAGCCAGCTCAGTGATGCCATCCAGGGGCAGGCCACCCCGGAGGAGCCTGTCCAGCACCGGGCAGCCCAGGCTCAGGCGCTGGTGCTGCGCAGGGAACTTCTCCTTCTGCTGGTGCAGGTGGAGCGCTGAGTGGGAAGGGGGACGGGCGTCAGGCTGGGCTCTCCCACCCACACCCTGCTGGTGGGCCTGTTGGGCGCTGTGTGGCCGGTGGACAGGTGAGTGCTGTCACACGGTGGGCAGGGTGCCGGAGGGCAAGGGGGTGACCGTGGAGAACCGATGCACGGAGCAAGGGCCCCCATGGCCCTGCAGCCCTCCCCCCACCCACCCAGTGTGTCCCAATCCCGAGGCTGTGACCATGCCCCAGGGTCATTCCTCAATGGAGTCTGTGCACACGGCCCCACCGTTGGAGGCGGGAGCGGTGATGAGGAGGAAGGCTCCAGAGAGAGCCCGGGGCACTGGACAGGGCAGACGCTGCCCTTGCCCACCTGTGAGGACGCTGCTCCCCTGCAGGTGCATGGCAGCTGCTCTCAGCAGGTGTTGCACGTCAGGGCCAGAGAGGCTGGTCAGTCTCTGCAAGTCTGGTCCAGAAAAATGCAAAACTTCCTTTACTGATTTCAGTTTGGCTGAAATAATACAAATAAATTACAGGACAAGGTCAGACTATAGTAACGCAAGGCAACAGAGCAGGGCCAGCAGGTGTTTCTAGGAGCCTTGTCTTCCAGTTCCAGGGACCTGCTGGGCAGGGGCCAGACCCACCCCTCCCTGAAGCTGTGGGAACCCCACCTCTGAGCTGCAGCAGCAGAGGCCAGACGTGCAGAGGGGCATCTCCCAGGTGCTGAGAACAACGGGTGCCATCCAGTTCACACCCCGGAAACAGCTCTCAAGAAAGGCCTGCTTGTGGGGCCAGCCCAGTGGCCTAGTGGTTAAGTTCACACACACTGCTTCAGCAGTCCAGGATCCGCGGGTTCGGATCCTGGGTGCAGACACTATGCACCGTTCATCAAGCCACGCTGTGGCAGGTGTCCCACATATAAAGCAGAGGAAGATGGGCACGGAGATGAGCTCAGGGCCAATCTTCCTCAGCAAAAAGAGGAGGATTGGCAGCAGAGGTTAGCTCAGGGCCAATCTTCCTCAAAGAAAAGAAGAGAAAGGCCTGCACGAGATGCAAGGCTAGTGGTTGAGCCCAGGGTGGGGGGAACCGCGCACGAGGTGGGGTGCAGGGGGTGCAGAAGGAAAGCCGAGCTGGGATCCAATCAAATGTCCCGTGCAGCAGACAGTCACGATGACATGGTAGCGGGAGAGCAGGATGGCCAGTGGGGTGAACAGAGCAAAGAACACATGAGAGTTAGGCCAGCGGGCAGCAGCTGGGTGGAGAGGACTACAGAGTTAACATGCAGAAAGATCTGGCATTTGGGGAGAAGAGTGAATAAATTAATTTTAGGCTTGGGTAAGTGCACTACTTTCAGACTAGTAGAAAGAAAAAATACGCTAAAAATATATCCAACCAATCCAGAAGAAGGCAAAAAAGAGAAAACACCACCACAAAAACGAAAGAGGACAAACAGCTCAGCACAAGAGGGGCAAGTTAAACCCAAATTTATCAGGAATCACTTAGATACACATGCACCGAATGCTCCAGTTACAAGACAAAGATGGTCAGACTGGATGAAAGGAAAGCAGACAAGACACCGACGTGCTCCTGGAAAAACCAACACCTGAGGACGGAGGAGCGGGACGCCACCAGGCTGCTGCGCCAGCCCCCGCGTGTACTCAGGGTCCACATTACATGATCAACGAGCGTCCTAATGTGGAAGCATCCCTAATGGACAGCCCGGGAGCTGGCGGAGATGAACGGGGAGCCCCGGGAGGCAGCCATGCAGCAGGCCTGGGGAGCGGCCTGGCAGGGGGCGTCGGGAGAGAGAATGGGGGAGCTGTGCAGCCCTTCTGCGTGTAGAACGAGCCGATGGTGCCTGACAGATCTTCTAGGGGATATGGGAAAAGTCAGCAAGAAGCACACAGAAAACGCAGCCTGTGAAAAGGAGGCAACTACTAACTTTGGGGGAAAAAAACAAAGATGGCACAAGAAAGGAAACAGTCATAACCCCCTGGTTCAGCGATGGACATTATGTCCCCAGTCACAACCCTAACGGCTGACACGACCCAAACTGTGTTCCAACTGTGGGGGGAGGGGATGGAGGAAGTAGGGGCCTGAGGGGCGAAAGCCAGCCAGCCCTCACCTGTAACAGGAAGTCTGTGAGTAGTCGATAAAACAGACGGTCAACAGCAACTTTGATGAAAGTAAAATTAACTTAAAAAGAGTCCTTTCAGTCAAAAACACACAGACAATCGAAAAACAGCAGCACATTGAGCATCAGTGCACCAATCAGGGTCAGCTGGGGGGGACGGAGCCTTGGAGAGGCGACCTGTAAACTTGTCCTACGTAAGTCTATGTATGTACATCCAAACATTTTACATAAATGTCAATAAACACACCTTTCTTAACTGCAGCAATAATTCTGGGATTCAGGTCCAATTGGTCCAAATCCATCTCTTCAATGGGTTGACCACAAAGACAACTCACTTCCCAGGGACCCAAGTTCCGATCCACCTGCCATCAACTCCAACGGTCTGGAGCCAGGGGAGCCGAGTCCAGCAGTCCGGGGCGCAGCCCCCTCTGTGGCAGGGCTTCACCATCAGCTCAGGGGCCGCAGGAGAGTCTCTGCTGCATCGGGAACACCAGCAACGGGAGTCCAGGGCAACTTCTGTTGGAGCAATTTACATCCAGAAATTATCCGGAACCTTAGAAACCTCGGACTCAATCCACACGTCGATGCATTTGAAGGAATCCCCCAACCCACCTGCATTCTGAAGGTCAGCACGGCATGTGGCCACCCCACGTCACCCCTGAGAAAGTGAGAACAGCCCTGAGTCCCAGCCCTGGGCCCAGCATCCAGGTGAGTGGCCTGCCCCAACCCACTTCTCTTGGGCGAGGACACCGTATACAGTCGGAGATGCACGTGCCTTGGGCTCACTTGAATGAAGATTCTTTCGCATCCTCCAGTTTAATTTCCCTTAAATGTGTCTCCATGGGGAATCAGGAAAGAGTGGAAAAAGTGAGTTTGGGATCCTGCAGGATCCTCAGGGAGTGGGAAGCTCCACAAGTGTCCCAGTGGAGAACAAAGGAGACTGTCCGGCCGGGCTGTGGGGGGCAGGGAGCCCTTTCCTGCAGCCCCCACCCCTCACGCAGCCAGCATGTAGGTGGCCCCCTGCCAGGAAGGGGAGCTGGCAGCCCTATTACGGCCCAAGCACTAAAAGCAGCTGGTAACAGGAGCCCAAGCCTGCTGGTGGGAGGAACCCGGCTCCTCCCTCCCTCCGCGGCTGGCGGCCAGGCTCAGCCCAGGGTCACCCAACAGCTCTCTAGCAAGCCACTCTGCATTCCCCTTGTGGCCGCCCAAAAGAGCCAGGCCCGGAATGCAGCGGGGCAGGCGGGAACGCCGAGGCCAGCAGCTGCCCCGTGCTCCCTCCTGGCGTCTCACAAAGTCCCAGGGCCTCAGCTGAGGGGAAAGTTACACAACTGTGGACTTTGCCTTGCAATGCTTAGAACAATGGATTGACTTGGACGATACTGGGTTGTTTTTGAAGCTTCGAGAACCAGGTCACCCGCAGTCTCACATTTGCACAGGCTGGTCAGGGAGACACAGGTCTGATGCTGGCAAGGGTCACACTGTCCAGAACCGACAGTACGAGTTCCAGGAGCGGCCACAGCAGCCCGACACCCAGGCACGACCGTGCTGTCTGATCACTACACCAGCGGCTGCTGGGCAGGAGGAAGCTGGCGCCCCGAGGGCGGGTTTCCTGCCTTGGCACAAGGCCCCTGGGGCCCTGGCCAGCGGGTCTCCCCAGCCAGCAGGCTGGTGCTGTGTTCTGCCTGGAACAGGGGGACGGGAGGCTCCTGGGCCGGCTGCTCAGGGCAGGGCTGACAGTAAACACTGCTGAGGCTGGAGAGGAGACACGAAGCCCCTGGCTGCCCAGCGACCCCCAGGACTGCTGAATGGAGCAGAGGGAGGCTCTGCTGCTGGAGGGCCGGGTGACGGTCAGAAGGCTGGAGGCGGCTGACCCCGGGGCCCCAGTCCCAGATGCGCCAAAGCAGGGGCAGCGGGGATTTGGAAGAGCTCAAACGTGCCGAGGCTGCATGGAAGATGCTGGCAGAGCTGGCGGCCCGTGTAAGGAGGTTAGACTCCCGAGGACACACAGCAAATAAAAAAGACAAATAGCAACTCCAGGAAAAGAAGCCAGTCATCAAAGGGGATGCAGCAGCCTCGCCTGGTTTGTCGGGGTTCACGGGAGCGGCACTGGCCGCACTGGAGGGGACGGCCAGCCACATCCCCCACACAACTGCAGCAGTCTTTCTCGTGCCAGGCTGGGAGCTAAATTCAGGCAAGGGACGTGCAGCTCCACTGACGCCGTCCTGAAATCAGCAAAGGTAATGAACCGCTGAGCACTGACATTTCTCAGACACAGTCCGTCCCCAGGACTGTTCTAAGAACTTGACACGGATGAACTCATTCAAACCTTACCACAGCAACGCTATGATCTCCGTTTCACTGCAGAGGAAACAAGGACAGAGTGGCTAAATAACAAGCTAAGGTCACACAGCCAGCAAGTGTGGCTGGCTTGGGCCTTAGGTCCATGATGCATATACTAAACTCCTGACCTATATTAGCCTGACCATGAGCTTACACGGCCCACCTGTTGACAAATCCTACAGAACCTGCTCAGTTTCCACACTCTGCAAAGCTCAGTTATCCAAAGGCTGACTCACCTGTGGGTGCCCAGCCCACTCTCAAGATTAACCTTCTTTCTCCGCTCCGCCCCCCCAGGAGGGGACAATGAGCTCTCAGTTATCCTGGAGCTGCAGGGAGGGAGCTTTCATTACCAGTGACCTTGGGTGGCCAAGCCGGTCCTTCCACGCCTGGGCCACCACTGTGGTTTCTCCAGAACTGCCTGGCCGGGACCCTCTTCCTCCTCTGGAGACTCCTTCTTTTATCAGTCCCTGAGCGATCGTGCCCCATGGCTTTGAGAACTCCCTATTTCCCAACAACTCCCCCAGACCTGGATGTCCAGCAGACCCCAGCCTTGGCTGTCCAGTCGGAACAGGGTGCTCTGCACACTCACCTTGCTATCCATGCACACCCGCTCTTCCTACAGTGCCTTCAACTCCGTGGTTGTCCACCCACCACCCTTGACCTGACCCTGTCGCCACCCCTAAAACACCTCAACTTCACAAGGTCCTAGTTCACCTTCCACCCCATGGCTCCTGGGCGGCTGCCATAATCCAAACTGGCCCTGCAGCAGCAAGGCCTCCTCCAAACCTTGCGGGTGACAGCCCCCAAATGGGCCATGCCACCCGTCTCGGAGCCAGTGAAGCACTGGCCCAGGGTCCTTCCCACCTCCAGGACCCCGCTAGGACCTCTGCTCTGGCCGTCCCTTCCGACCGCCCGCCTCGATGACTCCACCGTCCCCACTGGGAGCCCTAAGGAGGGCCCGGCACACGCCCGGCCCTCACTGGGCCTCCACCGAGCCTGTAGCCCGATCGCCCCTGCACCCTCAATGCCACCTCCACGGCCCCATCCCCCCTATACCCCCCACTCCACCTCCGCAGCCCCATTCCCCCTGTACCCCCATCCCTCCCGCACCCCCCACTCCACCTCCGCAGCCCCATTCCCCCTGTACCCCCATCCCTCCTGCACCCCATAACTCCACCTCTGCAGCCCCATCCCTCCTGTACCCCCATCCCTCCCGCACCCCCCACTCCACCTCCGCAGCCCCATCCCTCCTGTACCCCCATCCCTACCGCACCCCACAACTCCATCTCTGCAACCCCATCCCTCCTGTACCCCTATCCCCTCTGCGTTCCCTATCTCCCCTCTACTCTCCCACCTCTTCTTCGGTCCCCCCAATCCTCCCTGCACCCCCCATTCCCGGCCGCCGCCCCGCAGCTCTCACCTCGCGCGGGCTCCACACGCCTCTTCGCGCCGTCCCGCCCCCCGCAACTTCCTCTTCCAATGAGCGCCGGGCGGCCCGCGCCGGATACGCCAATCAGAGAGGAAGCAGCGCTCACGTGCACACTAACTGACCAATCCAAAGTCTCAGTTGCCCCAAGAGGGGCGGGGCGCGCCTGGGCCGGCCCTCGCCGCCGATTGGTGACCGACAGCAGGGTGGCAGGGGAGGTGCCCTTGCGCGGATTGGAGGGGGCAGCCATGGGGCGGATCCCGAGCGCTGATTGGCACGCGCTCCGAGCCCGGCGTGGCGATTGGGCGCAGGCGCTGTCAGCCGCGCGGGTAGGGCGGGGCTCCGGGCGGGGCGAGGGCGCGGGTGCAGGCGATCGCTGCGGCGGCGTCATGTCCTCCGAGGTGGCCGCGCGCCGCGACGCCAAGAAGCTGGTGCGCTCCTCCAGCGGCCTGCGCATGGTGCCCGAGCACCGCGCCTTCGGCAGCCCCTTCGGCCTGGAGGAGCCGCAGTGGGTGCCGGACAAGGAGGTAGGTCGCGGCCGCCCGCCAGCTCCCCGCCCCCGTCCGCGCCCCGGGCCCCCGGCGCCCCCCCCCCCCCCGCTGCCTGCGCCCGGGACCCCGGAGCGCCTCCCGTGGCCCCGCTGTCCTCCCGGGCACCCCGCCCCGCGCCCCTCGGCAGCCCCCGGCTCCTGCCTCCCGCGCGCCCGCTCCTGGGCCGGGGCCCTCTGCCTGGTTCCCTTTCTCGGGGCGCCCAGACCCCCCCGTGTCTCCCAGAGCTCAGAAACACGCCCCGCGCGCGGGCCTCCCCCCGGACGTGGCCAGTGCCGTGCCCCGCGCGACGCCGTCTGCGAATCCGCCGCATCCACCGGTTGAGCTGCTGGGCTGGACCCGCTGCGATAGAGCCGGGCCCTGCCCGCCGGGGGAGTGAGGAGCCGCGCGTTTATTTGTAATCCGGCGTTCTCCGGAGGGACCCTCGGGGGTGCGGGCGGCGGCGGCGGTGTTTCGGTGGGAGTCCCCAGATGGAGCACAAGGAGGCGCCCTGGCTGGGGGGGGCTGCACCTGCTCCCGAGAGGCAGAGAGGCAGGAGCAGCTGCGGCTGGCAGGTGAGGGCTGGGAGGTGATGAGCGCCCCGTTGGCGGGGCGGGTGCAGCCCCTTGGCCCCTTCTCAAGGCCCTTTTGTGCCGCGCCAGGGAGTCTGGACTCGATCCCGTAGCCAGTGCTCCTCAGCTGCGTAGAGCCGGCGCAACTTCGTGCCTTCCTGCAGATCGGCCTGTCGGAGACATCCAAGAACTCTGAATTCTGAAAATGCTCTGAATTACAACCCCGCTCCCGCACTCTGATAAACTACTTTGCCTCCCTCCCCTGAGAGGAAAAGTAGGTTTTGAGCAGCGGGTTTTGAGCAGAGGAATGAAATCAGGTGTTTTTACTGCAGTGGGCGGTGAAGAGCAGGCAGCTGGGCGGGGGCCGGGGCCTGGGGGCAGGGCGGCTGGGAGGAGGGCACAGACCCGGCCCCGCCTGGTCCTCTCCTTCAGCCGCCCCGCCCTGGCGCTCTGATCGCAGTCACTGAGTTGAGGGTGAAAGAGACAGGGCAGGTGGGCGCGCAGGGGCGTGGGAGTTGCCCAGCCACTGGGGGAGATCGTCACTGAGCCGCCCACGTCTTCTCCCTCTCCCAGGACGCCCTGTTTGTGCTCTTTCTTTCCTGCATTTTTACTCTTGGTGTTTGTCTTCTTTGTGATAACAATGTGCCTTTTCTCACGTCACTCTCTTGGTTAGTGCTGTTAAAAGATAAAACTCTGATTTTCGTAACTGAAGAGTGTCGCAGAGTTCATTTCACTGACTCAGGGAGGGAGCCCTGCAGATGTCATCATGGTCAAGGAGAAGCAGCACACACTGGCGTGGAGGATGGCAAGTGAATGAAGTGCAGATAGAGGCGAACTGCCCTCTTCCACAGTGGGGGAGGGGAGCCCACGGTCCTGAGCGGATGGACAGACCGTGTCCATAGCTGTCTCCCTCGGTTCACCCAGCATCACCTGAGGGGTGTCCTAGAGCCTGAGGCAGTGTCTCAGCGTTTTCCACTATTGCCTCCCTGCAGCCTCTGTAGATCTTTTTTTCCTGGTTGATCCCCCCATGAAATTTTAGCAGCACGGAAGTGCTACGTGTCTGTTAGGGACCGTGTGGATGCGCGGGAACGCGTGGTCTGGACGATGCACGGGTTTCCCCGGCTGCATGCAGCCGTGTTTTCCCAGTTCTGGCTGCTTTGTAGCTGGCCGCTGTATCCCCTCTGCCCTCCCTCTCTCACCCCTGTGGTATTTCCTGAAATAGTTGTTTCGTGCGTTTCCTGCGTAAGTTGCCTTGCTTTGCGGGCCTGGTGGGTGAGCTGTGTCTGGAGCTCGGCCTCCGCGGTCCTGAGAACTCTTGCGAACTTCTGATTAAGTTGTGTTGAAATGCTTGAGTCAGTGTGGCACCCGTTCCTTTGACAGAAGTTTCGTTCTGATGCTGGAAGGCTGGCGGGGTGTCCCTCCAGAAATACAACCCCCCATGTGTTAGAACTATGATTAGCCATGATCTGAGCAGCCAAGGAAGGCCCTAGAAGGCGAGTGAGCTGGGAGGAGGGGAGGGGACAGCCAAGTGAGGGTGGACTTCTCGGAATTTGAGGACATATTTTGATGTATTGGGGCTGCAAAAACCACCAGAGAGAGTGTTCTGGAGGAGGGGAGACTTGCAGTGGGCTGTTTGGGCTGGGAGACTCCAAACAGGCAGCCGTGGTTGCAGTGGCTCAAGGGGCAGAGTGTGGCGGCACTTACAGTGGCCTGGTGCTCAGTGGCGCCAAGCTGGACGCACTTAGCCGCACTCTGCCTGCACGGTGCTCCTGGGAGGCGTGATCACTGGGTGTGTGGAGGCGACGTATGTGTGGAGATAACCAGCTGTGAGAAGTAGGTTTATGTGTGGTGGTTTGGAATGAGCAGGGGGGTGACATGTCATCCTCAGCTTCCACCCATTATCCCCACTTCTTGGCTGTGCTTAGATTGGTGTCATTGTCACATCTGTAGACGCTACCCCATTTCTCATTATGGCTCTGTCTTCAGTCTGAGGCCAGCCCTTTCCACATCTGTTGAGTATTTATCAGGTGCCTGACCCTGTCTGTGCCAGGTTATTAGCTTGAGCCCGCGGGGACGTCCCTTAAACAGGTTGGAAAATTTGGCGGTATGTGTGCACATGTCTGTAGCTCTCAGCTTCTCAGAGGGGTTCCTGCCCCAGAAATAACTGAGAATCGCTTCCCGAGTGTACACACCGGGAGGACGACACAGTCCGCGCCTTCCCTGGAGTTCATGGGGCTGGGGAGGTGGAGGCGGGAGCTGTGGGAGCACAGAGGAAGCTTGGGAATGCTCTCGGGCTTGAGTGACTCTGCCATCAAAGGGTCCCTTAGCAAGGAAGAGTGGGCTTAGGGGTGGGCTGTCTGGGCATGCAGCTGTAAGGATTTGTCACAAGCAGCCCCAAATATTGAGTTTGATCCTTAAAACCCATGCAGCTTTGCACTCCTTCCCCCTGTCTTCCCATCCTCGTTGGGTATGACCAATGATGATGACCGCTCCGTGCTGTCATTTTGAGGTTCAGATAACTCTGCAGATGCAGAACCAGGGAGGAGAGAGCACAAGTGTGTCAAATGGAAAACAAATCCGGACTCGGGTGAGGAGGGATTTTCCTCACAGGGTCCATGCAAGCAGGGGAGAGGGACTGCTGCCAGCGCACGGGTCTCCAGGGTCAGGCAGAATAGGACTTTCTTAAGGGGGGAGTGACCCAGGCTAGAAGAGAATGGGGTGGGGGATGAGCAGGTGGAGGGGTGCAGCTGCAGGTGGTGTAGCCTGACCACACATCAGGGGATGCATCCCCAGAGGTCGGCCGTGTCAGGCTGAGGGTGGGTCATAGCTCAGGGTCCTGAAGGAAGGAGAGAAGCTGAACTAAAGTTTGATCAAGTCAGGTTAGTGGGCATTTTGTTCTGGTTGATGAGGGGACAAACAGGTCAGCCAGTCAAATAGTGTGAACTGTGGGGATTTGGGGTCCAAATCCGGCCTTGTCACCGGTGAACGGGGGGCATCTGTGAGTCTTATCTCTGTCATGGGGTGGGGGGCCTTTGCAGCACACGTTCCTGGAACACCAAAGGGCAGGGGTTCGTAGTTGCCGGGTCACGGGGAGTCCCCTGTTGTGAGGTGGCTGCAGGAGCCTCTGCCTGACCAGGAGGGCCGCCCGGCCCCACTGGCTGGCCAGGCTGTCTGCTGTGGGGAGGGACCGGGACCGTGAACCACAGTGAAGGCTTCTTGGGCGTCGCGGACCCCCGGGCGGGGCCTGGCATTTCCTTCCTAGATGTGATGACAGCTGTGGCGTCTGCACCTTCCGTTCCCAACTCTCCGACAGCTCTTTACGCCGCAGAAAACTGATCGTGCTGCCAGTGGGTCTTGTCCTCTGGAGGTGCCGGAGGCCTCCCTCCCTCCCCCTTCCCGCTCACTCTCTGTCACACACCACCCGCGTGCCAGTGGCCGCGTGCATCCGTTCCCAGTCGCCCCTGCTCCTCGCGGCCCTGGGCCTGCTCTTTGGGCTCTCCTTCCAGCTGGGTTGTTAACGTCTTACTGGCTCCCTCATTAATTAGCGTGTTAAATCTTTGACACGGTTCATTTTACATTTCTAGGAATTATGTTTCTACCCTTTAAAAAGGATTATCTTTCAACAAAGATACTTCAGTACTTGTATTTTTAAAGTTTATTTTTATGATTGATTGATTTTTGAGGAACCTAAGAAATAGTCTGGTGTGGGAGGCTGGCGCCAGCCAGCCAGGGAGCGTCTCTCACCAGTGCCAGGGGACAGTGTGGGAGGGTGTGACTCTCCTGTCACTCCAGCCTCAAAGGGAGGATAGGCATGTGTCCTCCAACTTTGTGTTTTCTATAGTTACTTTTTTTTTTTTTTAACATTCCTGAAACTTTCCAAACTCTGTATTTCCTGACTCTTGAGGGGGAGATGCTCTGTCCGTTATCTTTTGGGGACCGGGGCTGATTCTGAAGAGTTGCCCTGGGCACCTGTGGGGGCTCCTTGTGCTTGAGTCAGGGCAGTGGGTTGGCAGAGACCTCAGCTCTCCAAACAGCTCTGTGCCCGGGGCCTCTGCCCTCAGCTGTGGGGCTGGGGTGGATCCCACAATTCCCCAGGGCCCCTCTGTGGGAAGTCTTTGCTCCAGGCCAGGTTTGCCCAAGGGCCTTTCTGGTTTCTTCTTTGACCTCTGGTAGCCTCCTTACTTATCTACCCGGAAGCTGAGTTTACAGCATCTGCCTCAACCTCATCTACACTCAGCGATTGGTTTACTGGACCAGCAAGGAGTGGACAGCTGCCCGGGCTCTGACTCGAGGGCCTGCAGCCAGGGGAGTGTGCTCGCAGTTGGGGATTTTACTAGGAGCCATCCCATGCCGCCTGCCCCAGCTCCCTGTCCTCTCGTGGCCGCTCCTTGCTACCAGCTTCCTCCCTCCTGTCTGCCGGGCCAGGGCCGAGGACGGTGGAAGTGGGTGCAGGGGGCCCCAGGGGCTGGGCTGGAGGCTCTTCTGTTTATGCGGCTTCATGTGGACATTGACACTGGTCCTGCTGCCCAGCCCCGGGGGGCAGCATCTGCAGGTCTGTGGAGCAGCCCGGCCAGGGGATCAGGCAGCAGATGGGTCTGTGTGTGCATATCTGTCACCTGGGGCCCTTGCTCAGCTCCTCCCAGCCCCTTTGGGTAGGTCTGCTCTTGCAGATTCTTCCCCATGATTGTGCTTCTTTGAACATCAGCCCCAGCCCACCTCAGCGGTGACGCGGTGACACACAGAGGCCTGGGCACTCAGACGCTTTTTGCTACATACAGGGGAAGCTTGATCACAGCTGGTTTCTGGACGTTGTACTTTTCCCTCTCTCCCCAAGTAGCAGTTTCCTGGAGCCTCAGAAAGCCGCGTGGGCTAGTCCTCGCGCCTGTGCTTGTTTCCTTTTGGGGGAGCTGGTTTGTCAGACCCATGTCAGTTCTTCAGCGGCAGCTTTACTCTGAGATGTTCACCCAGTGCTTTATTTCCTTATTTAATTCTCTCTTCACATTAAATTGTTCTGTTGATAATTTTAACAGGTATTTTCTCTTATATAATCAACAGGAAATTACCTTGTTTAAAAATCTGTCAGTTTTCTGAATAACCTCATTGGTTATTTAGAATGATAAAAACCTTCTAGATCACTTATCACACACACACACACACACATTTTTTTTTTTCGGAGGAAGATTAGCCCTGAGATAATATCTGTGTCCATCTTCCTCTACTTTCTATGTGGGACGCCTGCCACATCATGGTGTGCCAAGTGGTGTCATGTCCGCACCCGGGATCTGAACCGGCGAACCCCTGGCCGCCAAAGCAGAACGTGCGCACTTAACCGCTGCTCTCAGGGCCGGCCCTGTAGATCACTTATATTTTTAAGGGAGCAAATTTTAAATTCTAGATGTGGTCTTATGTTTAGAAATTGGTCTTTCAACTTGCCCAGCACACGCCTCCCAGTCCGCATGAGGCCCTTTGTGTTGCTGGGGAGACGGAGCAGTGCTGCTGAGGGAGCACAGGGTGGGCCCTGCCCTCGGGAGGCTCGGCAAGCAGTCAGTCTCTCTAGAACCGGGTGTAACGTGGGCTTTCCCGGCTGCTCAGCCTCACTAGTTGTCCCTGCTGTGGAGGCTTTCTCGAGTGGATTCTGTGGCTGGTGGATGTCTGGGGTCATGGAACAGCATGGCACATGGGTGCCGGCAGGGTCCTGAGTGCCACACAATGTTCCAGAACTGACAGAAGCGAGAGGCAGTGGCAGGAGCTGGGCTTCCAGAAGCAGCAGCAGCGCAGTGAGCAGCCAGCCCATGCCTAAAGCCGGTGGAGACTCTGTAGATGGTTCTGGAAGGCCCTGGATGGGGCAGGCCCTGTGTCCAAGTCCAGGAAGCAGCTTAAGAGCAAAAAGGAAACTGGAAAATGTTAGTTACGGGATCTGGAGAAGCCTAGACACCGTGCCCAGTGTAGGGGCCGCAGCCGCGTGGAGCTTGCTAGGGCTGAGGATGCCCTTCCTGCTGCAGGGTGGCGTCTGAAAAGGCCCAGCCTCAGCACCAGCACCTCTCCTTCCACGGTGAAGGGAGCCCCGGCTCTTCTCCCGAAGCATCTGCAGGGTCCCGGCACCACTGGCCTCTGGGACCAACTATGAATAGTGCGTACTTGGCACCTCATGTGGATTTCCTCAGAGCTACTTGCTTGCCTGGATCTTGAGCCCGTGCGCCAGCCAGCCTGGTGCTGGGCCCACGGTGTCCACAGTCTGCTGCCTTTGAGGAGGCCGAGGCCCAGAGGAGAGGGTGCCGAGAATTCAGGCCCCTGTGCCTTGGTGGAATGGGGAACAAGAACCGGGGGCGGGGCTGCAGCGAGAACCCCTGCTGGCCTGCAGGATGAGTGCGTTGCTGGCTGACCAGAGTGAAGACGGTCAGTGAGGCACTGGCCGCAGGGAAGGGCGTGGGGCGCAGCCCTTGATGGCCGGGCCGACTGATGGGCCTGCCCTGCTTCCCTCAGGGTCACGTGGTCGGGTTGGTCTGTCCTGTGAAGCAGGTCCTGATTATAAACCCTCTTCCCTGCCTGGGCAGGTGGGCGGTTTTACTGTCACACTGTTCCTGGCTGAAGTGACATTTGTGTCAAGGAGCAGCTTTCCCACTAGGGGACACCGAGCCTTGTCAATGCTGGGACGGCCCGTCTGTCCGTGGTGGTGAGCTCTAAAACGACTTGCTCTTGTGTTAGAGGTCTGAGCTCTTTGATCTGGTTGGTGTGGTTGATGAAAATGTGGCTGTTTCAAGTCCCTTGTCCTCGGTGTCTGGAGCAGGGCTTGGCCTGTTCCTTGAGCTCTGGGGGAGGGGAGACCCTGCTGCCATGTGCTCAATCCCTGCATCTCGTGGGAGCCAGACTTCCTGACCTTCCTTGGTGTCTGCACTGCGAGGGTCTGTAGTTGTGGGACTCCTATTGCTGAGCAAGTCCAGCCACCTGAGCCCCGGGTCGTGGGTCTCAGCCTCCTCCCTCTAGCTCCTTCCTCTGAGGAGCATTTCTGGGTCTGGCGGCTGACCACATTAAACCCGTCATCCCCATGTCCTGCTTCAACTTCTTCCAAACCCTCCCTCCCGGGCCTTGGTGAGGGCGCACTCGAGGACTCAGTAAACAAGCAGAGTACACTGTGTCTCACGTGGACGGGCTTTGCCAGTTGGGACTTCCCCCTGCAACTTGGCAGACTCAGCGCGCCTTCTTCACTATAAAGTGGGGGAGCGCGTGTGCTTTCCTGGTTTATGGTAATTCCTGCTGTGGAATCTCATGGTCATTTCACGGCACTGGTCCTTTGTTCTGGTAACAGGACTAGGGAGCTCCTGAAGTGAGCTCACTCAAGCCTGGTGAGGCAGGCTCGAACCACTGCCCTCTGGCCCGAGCACACCCTGACATCTAGGCCCACTCCCTACCCTGGCAGGACCTTGGCCGCTGGGCACTCAGTCTCGGCCCCCATCTGTGCCCTTGGCGTGTCTCCTGCAGGTCTCTGAGCAGCACCCACCGCACACCATGGCCTGGGGCTGGGGACCTGCTGAGCCCGCTTGGCTCCTGGGCTGGCGCCCAGCTCAGCGTGCTGCCTCCTGCCCACCACAGGCTGCCTGGCATGTGGGGAGGCCATGGGAGCGATCTGGTCCAGAGGGGAGGTGGGCTTCCCCATCCCCTGTGAGCTCTGCCTCTGCAGTTCAGCCAGTGACAGAGTTGGGTTCTGAGACTGTCTCCTTCCCTCCTAGTGCCCAAGATGTATGCAGTGTGACACCAAGTTTGACTTCCTTACCAGAAAGGTGAGCTGAGGCCATGGGGTTGCAGGGGCGGGTGAAGGACTGACTGGGGGGGGGCGCCCACGGAGCATCCAGCCTCTTCCTGGGGGGGCCAGCTCTCTGGGAGGGACTGGAGAGTGCAGCCTTGTCTCTTCCCGGGGGCCACCTGTGTAAGAATCAGTAAGACAGGGACTCCTGCTGCCCCTCCAGCTGGGTCTCGTCCTCGGGGTGTCCTACTCTGAACAGTCCTTGGCTCGCAGTGGCACAGAGGTGGGTGTCCTGGTCCATGGCCAGCGGGACGCAGGGTTCAGAGAGAGAGAGAGAGTGGAGCAGCAGCAGTGTGGCCTGCTGCATGCGGGCACCCTCGGGGCACGCTCGTCCTTTGAGTGGCCAGGTTTGACATCTGGGGCCATGTCTGGGAATGCACTTGTGGCCCTCACCCAGCGTGTCCCACCTCAGGCGTGTTTAGGAGGTGGTCCCTGCGGGGTGCACTTGTCCTCGGGCCCCTGCTCACTGCCTGCCCCCTGCCGTCTCCAGCACCACTGTCGCCGGTGCGGCAGGTGCTTCTGTGACAAGTGCTGCAGCCAGAAGGTGCCGCTGAGGCGCATGTGCTTCGTGGACCCCGTGCGGCAGTGTGCCGAGTGCGCCCTGGTGTCCCACAAGGAGGCAGAGTTCTACGACAAGCAGCTCAAAGTGCTCCTGAGTGGTAAGCAGTCCAGTGTCCTGCCCGTGACACCTGGTCCTTGGTGCCTGTGTCGCTGCGGTGGGCTCGAGCTGTGGCTACTTTTCTGTGACGTTCTGTCTCACCCTCTCTCCCTCTTGCACTCCTTTAGAAGCAGGTACAGAGCCAGCTCCTCTCTGCCAAGATGAAAACGTCACCCAAAATGTCAGTCTGACTTCGCTGGGCTTGGGACCAGCAGTTGGGACATCTGTTGGGTGGGAGGCCCTGGGCCCGGGCGGGACGCGGTACTTACATGGGTCGCTGTGATATGGCCCCAGAGGACGGCGCCAGCAGCAGGCAGAACCTTCCACCCGGCCATCTCGGGGTTTGCGTGGCATAAGAGGAGGAGCTTTCCAGGGAATAAGGGTCTGCCCCCTCAGGAGCTCCTGAGAACTGAACCCCCATCCTCCCCACGGCCCGCCCTGGTCCTCGCTCTGGCCGCTCTTTCCGCAGGCCTGCCCCTGCCGTCCCTCCTCTGTAAAGCAGGGCATCGCTTCCTGGCAGGAGGGCAAGCCTTGTGCCTCTTGGGCTGGGTGGGCGTTAGGTGTCTTCTCTCCACCATCCTGGGCCTGTTCTGGTCCCTCCTCAAGTGTGTGGGTAGGGGAGAGAGTGCTCTTTGAGCTGGGCCTTTGGGATGGAGTCCCCTGCACCTTTGTGGGCAAGCAGAACCTCTCTGACAGCGCCTTTCGTCGTGCCTGTTACATCCGCACTCCGTCGCGGCCTTGCTGCCTCACCTGAGGGCCCGTGCAGCAGAGCTCTTGCTTGTTTCCATTCTGTGCTCTGAGCGTGTGCATGTCCCCGGGCAGCTGGCCTGGCTGGGGAAGGGCGCAGGGTGAGAGAAGCTGTGTTCTCACGTTTGTTTTTGTATCCCAAGGAGCTACCTTCCTCGTAACTTTTGGAAACTCGGAAAAATCAGAAACAATGGTTTGTCGTCTTTCCAACAACCAGAGGTAAGGGGCAGACGCTGCTTGGCACTGACAGCTTTGTCACATCAGCCCTGGAGGAACGTGGTCTGGACACCCTTTTTTTTGGACAGATACTTGCTTCTGGATGGAGACAGCCACTACGAGATTGAGATCGCACACATTTCAACCGTGCAGGTTCTCACAGAAGGCTTCCCTCCTGGAGGTAACCACGGCGTGCCCTTTACTACACGGGAGATTTGGTGCCAGCTTGGGTGACTTTTGGGATAAACAGCAGCAGCAAGGACGGGTCTGTCAGGTCATCCTGCTCAGCCTCTTGGCAGGGTCTCCGAGATGCCTGCCTGTCCTCTGTGGGCTTGTTCTGAGTAAGTGGCTTTAGGAACTCGCCAGGTGAGTAGGGGCTTGACAAGTAAAACAATGAAGGGAAGTGTGCCTGCATGTGTTGTCGACATGCCCTCCTGTGCCACCTTACTCACCCTTCGACTCAGACCCAGGGTAAAGCTCCAGACGCAGTCGGTATCACCCAGATTCCCAGAAGGGTCTGGAGTGGTGGCCAGTTGGGAAACAGTATCCAGGCATCCTGGCATTCCCGCTCCTGTCAGGGTCTGTGGAAACAAAATTCCTTTACATTTCCTTGTGAGCTTCCGGAGCATGTAGCCCAGTCTGCATCTTTCCATCTAAACTTTAGCGCTTCAGTAGCCGTCTTTCCACTGAAGTGGAGTTTGCATCCAAATTATATGAAGTGTGGTGAGCAAACCCATGAGACCTAACCCATCTTGCTTTCTCTTTCCTGACTGGCTCTTGGTTGTTCTCTCCTGCCTGCCTACCTTCTTGACGTAGAAAAAGACATTCACACTTACGCCAGCCTCCTGGGGAGCCAGCCCGGCTCAGAAGGTCAGCCACACGCTCCTCGCCGCTCTCCCCAGCATGCTGTGGGCCCTGTGCCTCCCCTTGATGCCCTGCGTCTGTCTGTGGGGGTGATCCACGCCACAGTTCTCTGTGAAACACACGTGCACTTCTTTTGGTTGATTTGAAAGAGAGTTGGGTCCAAGATGTGGGTATATAAAGCATAAATGAAAATATGCCAGCAGCAGAATTGTATTTAATTTGCTCAGTTCTTCTATTCCAATGGGGGAAACATTACCCAACATTTCACAACTTCTTGTATCTGCTGGCCCTGAGCAGGCTGAGTCTGGAGGGCATTGGGAGCGTGAAGTGGGTAGTGGCCCTTCTCCCAACATGTTCCTGCCCCTTCACAGCCTGGCTCATGGTGCTGTTCTGGGAGCCTCTGTGCCTCCCGGCACTCTCTGACTCTCCGCACTATCTGAGCCCCCTGAAGGATGAGGTGAGAGGGCCAGGCCAGTGTTTTGCCACCTCTATTCACGTGCACACAGAGGTGTGCATGGTGACACCAAGCTGCTTGCCTGTGGCAGGAGATGCTAGAGGTCAGCCTGGGTGCTGGTGTGCTGCCCCTCCCAAGGCCAAGGAGGAGGCTGCCACCCCAGCTGGCCTAGTGAAGCTTCTGGTCGCAGGTGTGCCATCCTTGGCGGGGCCCTCGGACTTCTGGCACCTTACAGTCCCGTGGAGTGGGGTTGGGGGCACAGTGAGTGCTGCTCTGCCAAGTTTTCTAGACCCTCTAAAACCCCAGACCCCTGTCTTCCCATGGGGTCTGGGGCGTTGGAACAGCTCCCTGAGCTGAAGGCAGCCAGGAGCCTGCCTGCTGGCTGCAGACTTCCAGCAGGGCACACAGCTTTTTCTGTCGAGGGCCCAGCAGTGACTGTGGAGCTTTGCGGCCACATGGACTCTTGTAGAGTGCAAACAGCCGGGGCTGTGTGCCAATGAAACTTGACTTACAAAAGCAGGTGTTGGGCAGAGCTGCAGTGAGCCTGCTCCAGGCACTGGTGGGAACCTGCAAGGAGCCCAGTCAGGGACAAGCCAGACTGACACGCAGGGTAGGAACGTGGCTTGTGGAAGGTCAGTTTGAGTAGCCTTCCTGGCCTTAGGTGGTACAGCACTCAATAGCTGTCACCCTCTCACAGCTGGTCAGGCCTCTCCCAGCCAGAGCACACCCCCCCTTGTCTGTAGTCGTGGCTCTCACTCTGGCTTGTGGGAGAGTCAGGCCTCAGTTTGGACTCAAGAGGTCTCTCTCTGATTGATTACTGCGCCAAACGGAGTTTTCTTGAAAACTGAAGTCACAAAGTAGAAAAACTGTTGGTAAAGTTCACTGTGAGGCTTGGTCTTCACATGACTTTTCTGACTGTAGTCGTGACTGTGAAGAGCCGTTCCGTTCAAGCGCTTGGTTCTCAGAGCAGGCATTGGAATCTTGTTGTCATCAATGGAGCAGCTGGTCATGGCCCAAAGACGGGCCGTGTCCCAGCAGGCCGATTCCCCTATGCGGCATCTTTGCAGGAGCTCGTGTACTAGGGTGCTGCGTTGGCTCCCTGGGTTGGTGACCCAGGATGTGGCACTTCTCTGGTGCTGGGCCTTGCTTGCATCCTCAGTCTCTGAGCTTTGACCCTGGTTCTCATTGGGGGCGTGGCTGTGACCACCTGGCCTCTGGGTGGCCTGTGCACTGGTGCAGCCCTGCTTCTGCCAGCCCTGGCTACAGATAAATGTGACGGAGCTTGGATGGAGCCAGCCTTGTCGGGGTTTCCTGATGGCAGGGGTCCCACACAGGACCGGGAGATGCAGGCAGCAGTGTCTCTCTTAGTGCGATTTGTTTGTCCAGGGTCCTAGAAGGCACCAGGCTCGGTGACTCAGTCCCTTTCCCATCCTGTGAACTTGGGGTCATCTACTAAAAGGCCTGAGGAGCTTGTGTTCACTGGGTGCTTCCTGAGCACAGGCCTCTGCCACCAAGCTCTCCTGGCCCAGCCTGAGGGTGGAGAAGGAGGCATCCTGGCCACCACCACATCATGGCTGGCATCTTGGGTGCTTAGGGTCCCTTTTGTGCCTTCTTACCTTGTTTCCCTCCTCCAGGAGGCAACGCACGGGCCACAGGCATGTCCCTCCAGTACACAACACCAGGGGCAGATGGTGTGACCCAGCTGAAGCTGACGGCTGGGGAGGATGCAAATGCCAGCAGGAGGCAGTCAACGGCGTGGCTGGCAGCCATGCACAAGGTACTGAGGTGGGGGCTTGGGAGGCTGGGCCCTTCTGCTTAGAGCACAGGTCCCCTTTTCCCAGAGGAAGACCTGCCTCCTGCCAGCTGGGGGTGCCCACACCAGCTCCAGCCAGCACAGGACCAATCAGGTTTCTCCACATTTACTTCTGGTCACCTTGTAGGCTGTCAAGCTCCTCTACGAATCTCGGGACCAGTAACTCCACGTGGGACAGACAGCTTGGAACAGCGGAGCCTGCACTCTGTGCATGCACAGACGCTAGTTCCACATGTGGTGGGAAATGCAATTCAAGTATTTGGAGAAACAGAAGCGTTCGCTTACCTAGTGCAATATGTACACAGTTTATTAATGCTCTAAACAGCTTCATGCTTTAGAATTTGTGAATACACAAATATCTTGTTGATAATTGGGGATGGGAGAGACTGAGCTACACTACCGCTAAACTATTTTTAGCATAATCTATGCCACGGTTTTATGAGTGCCCAGGTTTACTAGAAGTTTCTGGCCCCCTAGTGTCTCATTAATTCTTCCATAAAATGATTTGGGCAGTGGTGGCTCAGGCTTGATTTGTCCTGGAGCCTGCCGGGTTTCTCATACACCTGTGTACAGTCTGCCTGAGCCCATTTCACAGACTGTCCGTTTACTGAGTGAGTCACTAATTTGGGGCTATGAACAAACCTTTGAGATGTCACTAAGGGGAAGGATCCAGCTTTGTGTTTTATACTTTTCACTTACTGTTCCACTTTATTAAAATAATTGTACAATAATTTGTATATAAAGCTTATGATTAAATCCTATTTTGAAAATACAGACCAGGCCTCACCTCACTGTGTCCAGATACCCCGAGCTTTCCCGCTCTAGCTCGGTTCCGGCTCCAGAACACAAGACGCACAGCCGCGGTGGGAGACAGCGTTTATTGTGCACAGTGACACGCAGCAGCGGTGTCGGGACACAGCAGTTGCTTCCAGCAGCAGAGGCTGCCCCACAAGGGCGTTCACTTTTCATCACCACACTGTGTACAAGCAATGCTTAAAGGTGATCGACTACAGCAACAGATCTATACACATATTTATACATAAATTATACACAGGACTCGTACATGGAAAATAAAGGCTAAGGGCCTGGATTTTAATGAGAAAACATTTCCAATGTCATTCTGGTAGTTTTGAACGGTCTAGTCAAAAAATACTTTTGGTATATAAAAGCCTGTGTGTACAGTTCGTTCAGACTTCAGGGAAGTGCCTTACTTACTTTAAGTCTGGAACTGGGGCAAAGGTTATTGCATCACTGCTGGCCGGACTGGGGCGGCTGGGCCCTGGGCCCTTCTGCCCCACAGCTGCCCCTCTTGACACACAGGCCTCCCCATGTCCACCCCACCCCGAATGACTGCCCTCAGCCTCCTGGCCCATGGGCTGCAGGGTCTGCCCGCACTCAGAGCAGAGCATGTCCACACTGTGAGAGGTAAGAACCACACCTGGGCAGCAAGAGGCTGCATAAAAGGTAGTGCTGTGAACGAAGGAGGGGACAGTGCTGTGTTGAGGCTCCTGACTGTGTTGTCAATTGGTCTCGAGGGCTCTCGTGTCCAGGGCACAGAAGTCCAGCCCAGCACCATCAGCCTGTGGGTGACCTAGACCAATGCCTGGAACAGGAAGTGGAGCACCCACGGCAGGACACATGCCAGGGACCACCACTAGGCAGGAGTTTCCAGACGGGGGCTCCTCTGGTTATGAGGGAAAGAAACGCGTGTGGTGAGGGTGAGAGGATGATGGGTTTCTGTGATTTCCAGTAACAGGAGGGTAGGGCTCTAGCAGGGGGCGCACCTCACAGCAGCTGCAAGTTTTCATTGTTGGGGGTGGGGGTGACATCAAGAACAAGGGACGGCCTTGGGGCCAAGTCAGTCAGAGCGTTTGTCTTCATTGGCAACCAACCAGGGGTATCACAGGGCTTCTTACTGGCAACAGGGGCAGTTGTTTAGAAAGCTGGGTATTTATTTAGATTTACAGTAATTGGCAAAATTCAGTCTTCTTGGAGGCGAAAGTACCTCTCCCAGTTAAGGGCAAACTGGAGAGAGGGCCTCACCAGAAACTGCAGCAATTTCACATTGTGGACGCTGTCTGCTAAAGTGAGCACCATTAAAACCATTTCTAGCTTCAGCTTTCCTGGGGAAAGGGCAGAATGATCTCTCCAGTGGCTCCTCGTCGCTGGCGAGCCTGTGCGGTGGGTGCTCCAGTGGGCAGTTCAGGCGAGCGTTCGCTGTCGGGGTTTGATCCGGGGATACAACTGGGAAGCAACGGAAATGAGTTAGGACCAAGAGACAACACACTGAGCAGGAATCAGCGTCCAGGTGCCAGGCTTCCCTGGGCCTGTGTGTGGCTCCCCACCTCCTGCTCATCCCAGGTGGCTGCATGGCTAGCTCCTCCTCCAGGCAGAAGCTGGGCTGTAACCCTCCTACTGAGACCCTCCCTAACTCCCTTGAAAAGTTGCACCCCCCCCTCCCCCCCAGGATACCCTATCCCTCTGTATCTCTCAGTGCTTAGTACCAACTGAAATACTTGTCACCGTAAGCTCCCGGTTCACTGCTGGGTTCCCCTCAGTGCCTCGCAGGTGCGTGGTGTTCAGTGCATGTTTGCGGAATGCAAGCAGCATCTGCCAGCCCCAGAGAGGCACACGGGGTGGGGAGCAGAGGCAGCCGCTGTGCCAGAGGAGTGATGCAATTATTAATACAACACGGGTAGCAACCTGCAGGCTCCTCACCTCATCCCCGTTAAAGAAATTTCTGAGCTGCAGAGAATTCTGGTTGGCGTGAGGCTGGCTGCTCACTGTAGTTCCCCATGGGCAGAGCATACTGTGAGCAGCCCTTGTCCGGGCCTCCCCAAGAGCAGATGCCCCCGCTGCTCCCACGGTGTGAGGTAAGCCTGGGGCTCTCCAGGGGTCTGCCAGAGCCTTGTGCCAACTCTGCGGACCTGCCCGTCTACAGAGGGGGGCACTGGGGCTGGGAGAAAGGCAGTCTCCTGTACGAGTCACCCAGCAGGATGTGACCCCATGCTATGCCCGGTGTTGTCTGACTTACGGCAGGTAGAAAAGGACAGCTGATTTCCTGGTGCATAACCTTGGGAGTGAAGTTGGAGCAGTTGAGTCAGACCCCAGGAGAACGAGCTCAGAGTGCTTACCCCCAGCAGGTTTTTGGGCACATAGCCCTCCCGGTCCCCAAGGCGAGCCCACCACCACTCAGTCTCGCTTTCGTCCTTGCGCCTTAGGACAGTGATGGCATCGCCCTCGTGGAAGGACAGCTCGTCGCTGTTCTGGGCCTCGTAGGCCCACAGGGCATACACCACTCCTTTGTTCATCACGCCCAACTTCTCCTGTACCCCTGGACAAGAGAGCAAAGGGTCAGGGCTCTGCAGAGGCCGGGCTGCAGAAAGCCCCACTCCAGGACCAGAATGGACATGCCACTGTTCTCAGGCAGGCCAGCAGATGCCCATGGTTGAGAGGTCAGAAGCCAGGGCCACACTGCCTGAGCCTCCCCAGGCCAGCTCCCCAGGCCTTTAAGACCCTTTGCTTAATGTCAACAGTCCTTTCTACGTCCCATGACTGCTACTGAAGTTTTGAGTCCAGAGGCAAAGGTGTGTTGTTGCAAAAGGCATTTCTTAAGATGAGACTTAGAACTCACATCTGGAACAAACTTTCAAAGGTCAATAACTAAAGCAGCTGTGTGACTGCTCTTGGACGGCAGAAAGCACTTATAAATGGCAGTGAAGGAGCTGCACACAGGTGAACCACAATGAGCAAGCTCATGCCCAGAAGTCACCTGCGGGAACCCAAGAAAGGCCAGAGGTGCTAACGGCCCGGGTACCTCCCTCCTCCACACAGGTGTCACTGTGACTGCGGCCTCTCCAGCCCCACCACACGGACCTCAGGGCACGCTGCCTTCTCTTCACTGGGAGCTGGGGCCTGGAGGAGGTGCCTGTCTTACTTAGTTCATCACTTTATCCCCAGGGTCTCACACAGGACTCGGCCCACAGGCTCTCAAGTTGTGTAGAATGGATGACCTGTGACTGTTCAGCCTTCAGAACAGAGAAGATTTTCCATCTCTTGGGAACTCGGACCCTGGCTAAAGCAGTTTAATTAAGACATGATGAGCTTCACTCATCACAGGCTCACTTATCAATGGTCACCACAGGACGGAGACAGGGACCCTACCCTGGCCTGACCCTGGGACATGCACAGCTCTCACAGGCCTCTTTCTGGGCTGCCTCAAGTCCTGGTGCTTTGCAGCAGCAGTACACAGGCACTGCCTGGCCACCCACGCCCCCAAACCCTCTGCCCAGAGGGGCAACACCTGTGCAAAGAGAGAGGGGATTTTTGGTTTTTAGCAATCTGGCACAGAATCCTTCTAACAACACGAATTTTCAAACATGTTCCCAGGAATTAACCTAAGGGACAGCGTGACCTCCATTCTAATGAACCTTCCTGCACTGCCCCCGACATTGAAGTCAGGGCTTCTCCCCTGGCCAGGCAGCACTGGCGCACGTCACCACTGCAGCCAGAGAGAACCTGAGGCGCACTCCAAGCTCCGCTGCGCACCATATAAAAACTGCGAGCACTGGATGTAGCCCTCTTCCATCTCTTCACACTTGTCTGCGGCGGTTTCGATGTCGCTGATGGTCGAGGCGAAAATGGCAGCGCCGCTCTCCACCAGCTGTTTGCAGAGGTGAACACTGTTGCAAGAGGCAGCGCAGTGCAGCGGCGTCCTGGAATGGACGGGAGGTGAGCTGCTGTGAGGCGCTGCCACGCTGGCCACCTCCTGCAATGCAGCCCTCTAGAGACCTCTCAGGGCTGTGCTGTGCCCCGGGGCCCTGCAAGTTTCTGTGCAGTTGTGTTTCTAATGGTGCAACTTCTACTAACAAATTGTTTGGGACCACATATAAATTTCTGAAGAGAGGGAGCAGGGCATGGACTGAGAAATGGCCTATAGAATAGATGTTCGTTGCACAACGACATGAACGTACTTCACACAGCTGACGTGTCCCTTAAAATGGCTACAGTGGTAAATGTATTTTCTACCACAGTTAAAAAAAACAGATGTTCAAACACAGCGGGACAGACAGTGGCCTGAAGTTCACAGTAACACCTACCAGGGGCCCAGGGGGCCTGCACAGCAGTGGCAGGCCCTGAAGGCAAACACAAACCTCGCAAACCACCTAAGCGTCGACCCCAAATGGGGCTGAGGGCTCTTTCGCACAGATGATCAGGCCACTTCAAACAGACCAAGAGGGAATCAGAATGGGCAGAATGCCTGACTACAGTGTCACCAACCAGATGCCTTTAGCAGGCTACTCGAGAGAAGCAGGGCCAGGAAGACAAGCGAGGACACTGTGCGGTGTGAGGCGGGACGGGCTTCCCCACGGTCTGGTGGTGGTGTTTCCCCTTTTGGGCTGTATGGAGGGGATCTCTCGACCCCTGCCCCAGGGCCCTCACCAGCCGTCACTGTCAGCAGCGTTCACGTTGACCCCAAAGTCCAGCAGGAACTTCACAATGTGGTGGTGGCCGGCACAGACTGCGTTGTGCAGCGGGGTGATCCCTTCATCATTGGGCTTGCTGGGGTCTTCCACCTAGGACATGGGTGAGTGTAAGCCACCAGCCCCGCGGCACCCCGAGCAGCACAGGCTGCAGCTGTGCTCAGCTCACCTCATAGATGATCCTTTGCACCAGGTCGAACTCTCCTTCCAAAGAAGCATCTAGGAGCAGCGCCAGGGGGTTGAAGCGGACTCTCAGCCCGTGCCCTGTCCGCTCCGAGTTAGGCTTCTTGA